AATCCAAATTCTAAAAAAAATAATGTTTCTAGAAGAAGCGACTTTATTGAGAAAACTTGACGATTTAGGTATAGGGACATGATATATCATCTTGAAGCATTTTTCACCCTCTTTCAATTTACCGAGTAATATACAGGGGGTTTCATTTGAAAAAATGAACTTTTGACTACTTTTATGCACAATTGAAATAATAGTAATTTTAGCACGCCCTATATGATATGAAGTCGATTTATTGGTGTTATTTGAATATTTCGAGTTTGTCCAAACTATCATAAAAATATCAACTTTTCATGAATTGAGAGTAGTGATGTACTTAATTTCAATTAAGGTTATGTTTTGGACCATATTTAGCACAATTTATTTTTTATCTCGAAAACAGATAGAGATAGGTATAGGTATTAACAAAAAAGTATTAAAATACCAGAGCGATTCCAAAAATGTATTAATATATGGGGTATGCCATTCAAAAAAATTAAGTTGCTAGGACTTTTTGATGGAAGTGGCAACGCCGCAATGCTGAAAATATTTTAGACCGATATAACAGGTAAGGAAATGTGAGAGGTGAAATTTTCAGAAAAATCATGCTTTGCGTTTTCCAGAAACGTCTAACCTACTATCGACCGTGAGTCACGATGTATATGCCAAGTTATAATGAAAGTGATTGGTCATTTCATCATTTTATGAAATTATATCTGCCATATGACTTTGAAATAACATTATTTTGGATTTAAAATAACCTCTATTATCAGATATTCACTTATTATATGTTTATGATAATATGGAAATAAAATATTATGATTCTCATATTTCGAATACATCAGTAGAAATACAGATTTTTCACTGCCTGAAAAAATATGCATTTTCATTATTCATCATCATTATATAGGGCGTTCCAACAAAAACTTCACCTCCCTGTAAGTCAAAAACGGACGTGTAATCGAAAATTTCAAAGAACACGTCAATTTTTATTTCTAGGGGGACTAATTCTGATATGGAAACCGTACCTGAAACGTCACTCCCCTGCGTTCAGCAACTACCCCCCCTATTTTTTTCAATATCATAGGGGGTCGAGTGATACCTAGATTATTTGAAATATCTTTTGTCTCTCTATTGCCTATGTAATTTGTTTGGAACTGGTTCATTCGTTATTGAGAAATCAAATGTTGAACGTTTTATTCATGAAAAAACAGAACATTTGCTGTCGCTCATTTCATTAAGGAAATCAACAAAAGTAATATCAATGGCAACACAATCAACGGATAAAGTGTTCAAAATGACCTCCATCTAGTTCCATACAATAATACATTCTACTCTCGAAAGCGTTCCGTACATTATTCAAGATGTCCGGAGTCAGCAATCGGCATCACCGAACAATTATAAAAATAATAATAAATCGTCTTAATTCATCTTTGAACACACATGTAAAGAGGTAACAATAACAGATATCCAACAAAGATAAAGTGGCGAAGTGTCACCCGAGGGTGTTTTTAAACTTAACCATGGAAATACAATATTAATTTACAATTTTCTTAATTATCTTAACTATAATATCTACGATGAGTGTAATTCTATTACATTGTAGAATAATTTTGCTGTCTGAGATCTATCTCATCAGATATGTTGGTGTCCTATTTTTCAGTACTTTATGAGTCATATTTAATGAAATTGCTAGATATTTTTCATATCTAGCAATTTCAGTTTTCGCATTTCCCGATATTTATGACTTATGTGCTCATATTTGCGTATTCCGAAGGAAAGTCTAGTACATATTCCTTTCTATGAGAAAGGAATGAATAGTTATTGAAAAAATAATAGAAAGCAATGATCAACCTGAAGAAGTATTGAACCAGACAATAAGGCGAAGAGGAAGCAGGTGTGAGATAAATAAAAAAAAATTCAGACATGATTCACTGAGTTTATTTCGAATATTTCTTTTAAGAAATCAAAGTTGTGATCAATGAAGGATCTAATTGTTTTCTGGAGTTCATTAATTTTTTTATATTTCTTAATTCAATGGGAATTTGATTGACAAGTTTCGGTCCAAAGTAAGTAACAAACCTTTGGGTATATACGTTTTTACAAAAATGAACACTAATTGTTTTCTCGGATTTGGCTCGGGTGTCGTGTATGTGTGTCAGATATGTGAGAGGCGAGTTCAACGTCCATAGTACACCAATTGCCCTTCAATTGTCCTTCATCAATTGCCCTAAAAATATCATCAACAATATTTGTTAGAGCTGTGGTGGTGCTATATCCTCCTCTGAAGCCAGACTGAATCGGTGGTATAATATTATGTTTCATTACGTATTCATTGATATGATTGTATGAAATTTTTTCAAATGCTTCAGCTAGAACTGGCAGAAGAGTGATTGGTCTTAAATGGTTGATTTTGGTAGGATTCGTTATTTTTGCTAAGAGGATCACAAGTGACAATTTCCAAACCGTAGGGAATGTTGAGTTATTTAGGCAATAATTGTATATTATGTATGTTATATAATCGATAAGAAAATTAGAGATCAAATTGAGCATTTTCAAGGTCACTAAATCGGAGCCCACTGCGTAACTTTTTATTGAGTTTATACATTCAAGCACTTCCTTGTTTTCCACAGTACTAAACACAAAAATGCCTTTCTGATTATGTGAATCTTGCTTATATTTATTTAGTGAGTCTATTTGACCATTGGTTTCAATAACGTCAGGAATAGTTGTGAAGTGTTTATTTATTGCATTGACATCTATCAAGACATCTGGTTATGTTATGTCAGGTTTTTGATTAGATTAGATTAATGTAGGGCTTTTGTGCTGGACAGCCATTACACTGCGACCTTTGCAGTGTCTATTGTGCCCTCATGTATGGTAGAGTTGTAGGTGTTGATTCCTTATCAACTTGTGGTCAAAAATGACTCCCAAGTATTTTGCCTCTTGTGCAATTGGAATTTATACCCCGTCCAGTACTGGTGGCTTCAGCCCTCTAAGTACTTTTTACTTTTTTTTGAATCCGTATGAATCCCACGAGTAGCTAGGGAAACTTAGTCTGCCACGACAGAGCCCCGCATGCCGCGGTAAGGTCTTGATACTCTGAGATGCGACCTGGTGTCTCAGAGGTGCCGTTTTTCGACAGCTTACCCTGCTGCCATTCAGTCCTCAGCACGGTAACTCACACCTTGACTTGGGGGAGTTTGTCAACTTGCCTTGTTTAGATCCGTTGTGTTCGGTTCAGAGCTCCTCTCTCTGTCAGAGCATTGAGAGGACACTGCTATGCAGGGCCACCTCGTGCAGGGTGCTATTCTTCATGGCGCACAACGGTCTTGGAATAAGAGTCCTCGTGAGGCTGGTCTGACCTCCTCGGCTATTCCCCTGGAGTCAATGACCTAGTGTCTGACTCCTCGATAAGCAGTCAATTATCTGCCGCAAGTCTTCTACGTTTGTAGGCTTGGTCGAGTACACTTTCGACTTCAGGTATCCTCACAAAAAGAAGTCCATCGGTGAGATCAGGTGGTCTAGCTGGCCACTCCACTGGCAGCTTCTGCCGATCCAACGCATTGGAAAATGTTCGTCCAAAAACTGTTTTACCTGAACACCAAAATGTGGTGGTGCACGATCCTGCTGGAATGTTATTTAATTTTCTAGCAAATTGTCTTCATTTTCTAAAATTTGTGTAACCATAGGATCTACACAGTCTTGTAATAGATTCAAGTATGTGTCTCCATTGAGATAACCTCCAATGAAGAATGGTCCAACAATATTATTACCAAGAATGCCGGCCCAGAAATTCAATTTTTGTGGAGTTTGCGAATGTGTTTCCATCACCAAATGAGAATTCACTTCGCTCCACTAAAGACAATTATGTCTATTCACTTCACCATTCAACATGAAAGAACTTCTGCCTGGTAAACGTGTATTGTACAATAGGTTTGTGTTTTGGTCAATTTCTCCCTGAACACTTCACAAAACTGAAGTCTACAATCAGGATCATCTTCGTAGTTGCGGACCGCAGGGGGGTGAAGTTTCGGGTATGACTTCCATATCAGAATTAGTCTATAAAAATTGAAGTGTTCTTTGAAATTTTTGATTACACTTCCGTTTCTGACTTACAGGGGGGGACAAGTTTTCGTTGGAACGTCCTGTATATACTATTCCCAGGCAAAAGTGTTACGTTCATCAATACATCATATACAAGTCATTTCATGAAAGATCAGAATGATTGTTTTTTTCACATTCCTGAAATTATGTTTTCATAATGAATTTTAAATAACACTGATTTGACTCACTGACTAATTTAATTTTATCAAATTCCTGCAAGTTTTCAGGAAATTGAATAGTATATTTCTAAAGTTTTTGATTCATCAGCGATAATAAAGATTTCCGTTAGTTGGAAAACTATCATATCATCAGTATTTTGCGAATACAATGTTCACCAGGTTGTGAATTATAATGGAATATAATCTTCTAGAAAGCAACTATCTGGAATTCATATAAAAAATGAAGGTATCAAATAATAGAAGAACAGATGTCAAGTAAATCGAGAACAAATTCATGTTTATATTTCAGAACTTGAATATCTTAAATATATATCATATTCAGCTCTTTTATTAATTTCCACCCACCATCTTTATTTTTCCAGGAGACTGAAAGAAAAATATGAGAAAGAAATCAAGGATTTGGAGATGTAAATTATTTCTTATGGCTGTGGGTTCGATCCCCGCCTCGACCAGATATTTTTCTCGAAAGAATTTATCTGGCTGAAGCTGGGATGATTCTGCAACCGTGTTTGGAATCACACGTTAAAAGGTAAGACCTGGTTAGTCCTTAGCTCGCACAAGTATCTCAACTTCTGAGAGCTGTCGTTCGTATGGGGCGACAGCTGATTAACTGAAAAAACATATTTCAAACAGAATTTTTTTCATCATTAAATCATACTGATAGTTATTACGGACACACATATAGGGTGAAATATCAATTTTGCACCAAAAAAACTACTAAAGATTTAAACCATTTTCAATAAACATAGATATATCGACAAACAACAAAAATCGAATAATGAATGTGATTTCGCATTGAAATATTATTATAGTACTATGAGGGAGGCGCATGTAGTGTATATGAAATACTAGTACTCTTTATGAGGCTAGAACCGTAAAAAAATGGATTTTTTTGTTTTGTCACTTAGGTGGCTATAATGTCAAATCTGAGTATTACTTTCAAATATAAACAAGTTTTTCAAATAAATTTTTCAATAATGTCTAAAGAAAGGGTAGTTTACTCTTGATCAGAATTTCCATTTTTTGTTCTCCCCTGTACACCGCTTGGAAATTCAGAATGTTGACGACTAAAATCCAAGTTTATCGCAATGCACTAAATTTTATTAAGAATAAAATTTTCTGACAAATGGATAATAAAAATGTGTTCCTTATGATGCAAATTTTTCCGTTAAACCTTTATAAATACAAATTAATTGCCAAGTCCCCTTTTTATTTGGGATTGAAAATGTTCAACCAGTTACCTCTTTCTCTTAGAGATATTGATAGATTCCATGTTTTCAAACGCAATTTCAATTTACTGAATCACAGTTTCTATACCATGCAAGAATTCCTTAATGTGCCTGTATGATTCTTTTGTATTCACATACCTTACTTTTCCAATACATGTTTATGTCTTATGGAAAATAAATGTTATTATTGTTATTATTATTATAAACTGGACAATAAAAAGTGATTTTAGTTTAATTCATTGTTCATTTGGGAGTAGTTGTTTCAGAAGGTTTTTTCCAGTTTTAATCTGAAAAAAACTTTCGTCTGTGCACCACATATCTTCATGAACATTTTTTGTTACAAAGTTATCAATTCCCTTTTCTCTTCAGAAGTTTCCCATAGTTTATGTTCCATGATGAAAAAGTAAAAAGTGAAAATCCAAAAAATATGACAAAAATTCAACGAAGTTCTTTAATGAACAGAAGAAACGAAATAAGAATAGTAATGAAATATGAATCCAAAAATTAAACTGAAACTTATGCTATTGACCCAGTTCCATGAGTACACATCAAGAAGTAATTCGAAAGCCAACTTGTTAGTTTCAGCGCCAAAGCGGTGAAAAGGGTTGATATCTAGCTAAGCTCTCATACGTTTCACTCTTTCCTGCGGAATCAAGCACACCTTTCAATTTTTCCGCTTTTCGAGATGAAAAGTACGTATAATTCATGCACTTATTCAGAAAAATTGGTTTGAAGTCAGGCGCAGTGCGCGTAATTCAAGCACCCTTATACACAGCAAGCTGCGGATCTCTAAACAGATCGTACATTCAGTTGTTTGGCGACAGGGTTGCCTGAACGACCGCACGCTTCCGCGGATGGTGGTTTTCAGAAGTTTGCGATGTCCGCCGACACTTGCTCCGGAAACTTGAACTCATATTATTATATTTTTGGATTAGTCACAACTTTCCAAATCAGAAAAAAAAACTTTTCTGGAAATACTTCAATAGATATTGCCGAAAGTATACATAGAATATTAGATGTGTAATTCAGTTTATTATTCCTTGTTTCATTTTGATGTCTCTCAAGCAAACATATCGAAGAGACTGAACATAGTATGAATTTTAACAATACTTACATTTCGAATAGTTTTGTGCATTTCAGGACACAATCCAATCAATTGAACGTGTGCTGACCGTTTACAGTCAGATGTTTTTATTTGAAACATCAATGTTTTTACATTCTCGACAAGTATTTCATTTCGATACATGGCGATTTCATTCCAAGTTGGCCTGGTATTTTTGAACACTTCATGCGAACCGATGTTAACAACACTGTCAGTAACAACTTGATCTCCCTGAAATTATAGTGTTATAATCATAATGATATCATTGTAACTTCTCTCTTGGAGATGATACCATCCATTATTGAAATTTAGAAATACCTATGGTACTATAAAAGTACACATTTCTCGTTTGTTTGGAGGTGGTTGACAGTGTTTCATGGTAAATTTCATTAGTTGACTTCCATTGTCTATAATGATATAAAATGATTGAAATCCCTGAAATTATCAATAAAATTATAATGAGTAGCTAAAAATAACAATTAAATTAAGCAAATAATATTGTGGAATTGGCCGCGGTGGTAGTGCGCCCGACTCACGATCAGAAGACCGTGGGTTCGATTCCCGCCTCGACCAGAAATTTTTCTCAAGAGAATTTATCTGGTTGGACCTGGAATGATTCTGCAACCGTGTTAGGAATCACACGTTGAAAGGTAAGACCTCGTTAGTCCTTAGCTCGCACAAGTTCCTCAACTTCTGAGAGTTGTTGTTCGTATGGGGGCGACAGCTGATTAACGTGAAAACAGATTTTTTTGTTAAACAGAAAAAAAACCCTGAAACTGAATTACAATAAAATCAAAAATAATACAAGCAACTATTGGAAAATGAACAATAGAAAAAATTTTTATGGTCACTTTCGGTTTTAACACGTGGAAATACATTAAAATCATCTAATTTCAACCCCGAAACAAAAACTTTGTTGTGTTGTGTTATATAGACATTTCTTGTCTACATATTTATTTTCATGCAGTTTTTTAATCAGTTTGTTGGATTTGTTATCAATTCATTTTGTTGGATTTTGTGGTGAAATCTTATAGGTGTCGGTTTCATTCAAACTTTGTGTAGCCTCCTCAAGCAATTCTTTTTAGTCATTACGGTCATTATGACCGTCGACTTACCTTTTTCAGATTTGGTAACAATTATGACAGGGTTATCTTTCAGAAATATGTATCTAATTATTATGTCTGATGGTTTTTGAAATAGTAATATTATCATCACTAAGAAACTACTTTTCGGTGAGTAGTTTATTTAAGAATTCATTATTTTTTGTGAAATTGAAACGATAATTATCGTGGGAAGGATGTTCATGAAAAATCATTGTTACAGAGCCCTGAAGAAGAATTTAATTTAATTTGAAACGTCTGCAAAACAATTGTTTTTTTATTGATCCTGTTACCTAACCAACCTTTCTTCAGAAGTATCATTACACACCTAGAACTATATTACTGATTGTATTGTTTTGTATTGAGGTATGAAATGGACGATTCGTATTACATTACATCATTACCTACATTGTAGTTGCTTTTTGATAATGAATGTTGATGGAAAATGAGTTGCAATGTGTTTTTGTGTTAGCCAGCCCTTAACCCTCACTAACGATAACCTCAAGAAATCACAATTATAATTAGGGTATTACATTCCAACATGCGATTCCAAGTACGATATGGACGTTATGCAGTGAACATCAAACGTCCCACCAATCGGCCTGTATTAACTTTTTGTAATAAACAACATATAACAATATATCAGTACTAATGTGGAGGTTTCATTATCTCCACAAATAATACTTTCTCCCGACATCAGTTTCATGAACTCATTTCATTTATTTCTCGGAATAATGATCAGTCAAACTTCTATTCGACTTCTACAAGTAAAGCTTCGTTAATATTTATTTTTTACTTCCAAAGTGAGATCGAATTTCCTCTTTGAATATAAGGATTCACGTTACTAATTTGTTTGTAGATGACGGAAAAATACACTCAGGAAAGAAATAATCTCAAAGAGGCCGTCAGACAAGAGATGGAACAGGAAATGAAGGCGTTGGAAAAGGAGGTGGTTCAATTGAAAAACTCCAGAGAAAAGGAACTTCAACAACTTTATTCCAGGTGATTTAGCATTCTTTTCTAGACGTTACTGAGCATGCATTACATAATATTGAGGACGCATTGACGGGATTAGAAATACATACTTTGTTTGAATTGAAGGGGTTATATTTTTAGGAGTGATAAATTTTTGGGAAAGAAAGTTTTTGGCTTTCTACTACTCCATCTTGATACAAAANATTCATAAAAAATCATCTTCTATCGATGTGTGGCTCATTCTTATATTCTGATTCTGGCTGGTAGTATGCACTGAAGTGATATATTCCGAATTCGTATTAGATACGGAAAGTTCCCTGATGGAAATTTGTTCAACGTCATTTGGTAATTCATTTCATGCAATTATTGCTCTGTAAAATATATATTTTCTGGAAAATTCAGATTTAAGATTTTTTGGTTAACAGATTATTGAGCTGTTTTGCCTGGTGAATTTATATGTTCTATAAACTTTTAGTGGCATGTTTTTATTATTCATAATAAACTAGAAAAAGGTGCGTAATTATAATTTATGAATAGAATTGATATCGAGTTAACGCTTTGGTTTATGAAAATTTTCATTTGGTTCGAAGGAAAGTAGGAGGAAAATGCATCCAACAGCTTCATTTTGGAAACTCCTTGATGGTTTTGAAGTTTTATTTGAAGCAGTTTCCTAAATATTAATTGAAGCCAACTTTTTTCGAATAACAACGATATGGATAATTCATGAAGAACGTTCATCTATAGGTTACTGAAAAAACTGAAAGCTAGTGAACCTTTCAATTTTGTTGTGTTTTAACACTAATTTTGAAATTGTTGTCTAACAGCTCGCACAAGTTCTCAACTTTTGAGAGTTGTCGTTCGTATGGGGGCGACAGCTGATTAACGGAAAAAAAAGTTTTTTTTAAACAGGGCTGATTTGTGTATATTGATCCAAATATCTATTTGATTTGAATCGGATTCCAATTGTAATGATACCTCATATTCCACATTCTATATGTGATATGA